CCACCTCTGCAGGCTGACAGGCCCCCAGGTGGGCTGGAGAGTATCTCTTCCACAGGCTCACCCTCAAGCATGACTAGGAGCCTCCAGAGCCCAGCGGCCTTGGAGGGGGCCTTCGGGTGTGCCCCTTCCGCCTGAGCCTCTCCCTGCAGCCCCTAGGCAGCTTTTAATCCACCCTGGAGACCTCTCCCCACCTGGAAACCAAATGGAAATATAAAGCTTTGTGGGGGAGGGGGTAGGAAGAAACGGGTAAAGAGCCTAATATAGGGCCCTTGCCAGCTTTGTGGGTAAGGAGGGGCAGCTGTGGAAGAGGTGAGGGTGGCTTCCTGACCCCTGCACTCATCTGCAACGGTGTGTCCTTCGAGCCTGCCGTGGAGCCGCCCTTTCGGAGCCCAGCACTTCTGACAGCAGCGGCCGTAGGGACCGCCCTGGAGGGACAGCCCTGCGGTGTCAGCAGCGGAGTCCTTAACAGCCCTGCCGGAAGCTTCTTCAGCCTTCCTAACAACGGTGGGAGCGCCCAGTTCCCCGTAGTGACTTCCTTTCTGCTTGGATGAGCAGGAGTGGTTTCCTCAGCTGAACGCTGACTCGTCCTAATTCCCTGGACGTTTCGCACCCTATTCAATTTCTGACCTTGCGCAGCTCGCATTTGTGAGCTGTAACAAAAGAACGTTGTCAAAGACTCGTGTGCCTTTACCCATTGAACAGTAACCCCCCATTCCCCTCCAGCCCGCTTCGGGCAACCAAGATTCTACTCTCCATCTCGATGAATTTTTTTTTTAAGATTTTATTTATTCATTTGACAGAGAATGAAACAGTGAGAGAGGGAATACAAGCAGGGGGAGTGGGAGAGGGAGAAGCAGGCTTCCCGCGGAGCAGGGAGCCCGATGCGGGGCTCGATCCCAGGACCCCGGGATCATGACCTGAGCCGAAGGCAGACGCTTAACGACTGAGCCACCCAGGCGCCCCTCGATGAATTTTCTATTCTCGGAATCTCACAGCATTTGCCCTTTTGGGTCTGACCTATTTCACTTAGCATAATGCGTTCAAGGTTCACCCATGTTGTTGCATGTACCAGAATCTTGTTCTTTTTAGTGGCTGAGTAATACTTCATTGTGCATATATGCCACATTGTATCTATCCTTTCGTCCACTGATGGGCACTTGGGTTGTTTTCACATTTTGGCTATTATGAATAATGCTGCTGTGAACATCAATGTACAAGTATCTAAGTATCTAGGGGTTATTACTACTACTACTATTATTATTATTATTGCCCTCCTAATGGATGTGAAGTGGTATTTCATTATAGTACACCATTTTACTGAAATGGGATTATACCATGTATTTTCATCTGTACTAGGATTTTTAACCTCGATAATACACTGAGGACAGCTGTCTGTGCAATGATGTCTTTGAGAAATGGGCTTAATTACCATTCTAAGCATCTCTTCACTGTTACTTTCCTCTCAGAATCAAACTCAATCAATGACACAAAAGTCTTATGCTCACCAAAGAAAATATATGAAGCTTGATTTTTAACTCAAGGGTGATGGCCCTTTTCAATCCATGAATATCTCCCAACCAATCACCTCTGAGACATGCCTTTTGGGTCAGATGAGTATGAAGTTGGGGCTAGGGGGTAGGGAAAGGTTGGGGTCATAGGATCTCTGGGCTGGAAAAGACTTACCATCCAGTCTCTGCTTGCATTCCTCTAGTGACAGAGAACTCATCACTTTACCGAGACAACTCATTAGCCCATTTCATCCTCGGGTAGGTCCACTGACTTAAAAAGTCCTTCTTATGTAGACATAAACTCTATCTCCCTGGAGGTCCCAATTGTACCACCTCAATCTCTTCCTTGATCACCTGTAGAGATAAGACAGCTCTTCCAGATCCCGTAGGTCTCCTGTTCTCTAAGCCCTTCACCGTCCTGGTTAGGATTCCCCTTGCCTCTAGCTGCACCCACCCTCTGAAGACACAGAACTCACCAAGCACACTCTCATATCCACCTCCTAACAAGAAGCCCCGTTCCCCTCCCAGGATGCCTTACTCATACACACTAAGCCCAAGTCTCACTGACCTGTTTCCTCTGGGAGCGCGGGGATTTCAAGGCTGCTTTGCCACAGTCTGGAAAGAAAAGCCACTTCACAGAGTGGTTAATAAACATAAAGCACTCATAACTCCCAAGAGAAAGTATGAGAGGAAATAGAAACGGGTTTCAAAATGTCTGAGACAGATTTATAGAGACGAGTCTCAAATGGCTACCATTTCGTTAGGCTTTTAAAATATTGTGGTGCCGGGACACCGCCTGTCCTAGGATCTGTCTCCAGGTCACTCCAATTCCTTGTCCTGACCTCTGGTGATGGACTTCCTGATAACAGGGCCTGCTGGCTCGCAGGCAGGCCCAACTCACTGCTCAGCCAGACACAGGGTTCTCGGGTTTTGAAATGGTGGGTCTCTCTACAACTTACACTGGTAGTTGTTCTGTTTTTCTTTTTTTTTTTTTTTTTTTAAGATTTTATTTATTTATTTGACAGAGAGAGACACAGCGAGAGAGGGAACACAAGCAGGGGGAGTGGGAGAGGGAGAAGCAGGCTTCCCGCAGAGCAGGGAGCCCGATGTGGGACTCGATCCCAGGACCCTGGGATCATGACCTGAGCCGAAGGCAGTCGCTCAATCGACTGAGCCACCCAGGCGCCCTGTTCTGTTTTTCTTTTCTGTCTTGATGGAAAATCTTTGATGCTTATGCAGTAGCAGGATTAACAGAAGCATAACTTAAGTTTTGCAGTCTCCAAAGAGGATTTTCCATAATTTTGATAGTTCTAGGGGCTGGTTTTAGCTATACCCCGGGATCTGTTGGTGGTGCTTTGGAGTGATAAACTCGAACACTGAGCAGGGTGGGGAGGGAGGGTCACAAGCCTTCCTTGTCCAGGGATGGGCTTATGAAGGGAACCCATGTGCTTGGTCCGGGAAGGAAGGGGATGACATGAAAGGCATGGCAGGTCAGCCTGTATTGGGTCTGGTATCATAAACCTTAATAAATAGTACCAAACATCTACTGAGCACTCACAAGTTGACACAGGCCTACCCCTTCCTAGCAGGGTCTCATTTCATCTTCACAGCAACCCTGGGAGGTAGGGACTGTTTCCTGCTCCATGCTACAGAGGAGGAAAGCGAAGTGCACAGATGCAAAGAACTTTCCCAAGCCCACTCCCATCCACCCCCTCGGGAAGCAGCAGACGTAGTGCTGAGCTTAGTCTAAGTCTGATTCCAGAGCCTCTGCTTGACCCGCTCCCCCCAGGCCTGCAGGTGCCCGCCCCCACCTGACCCCCATGGCAACACCGCAAGGCAGGCTTGACCCATTTCACGGAGGGGGAAAAGGAGGCTCAGAGCTGCAGGTAGAAAACTGTGCCCAGACCTCCCAGCTAGGACGTGGCAAAGACGGGAGTCGAGTGCACAGGCCTCCTGACATGACCGCATTCTTTCCTCAGAAGGAACAAGGCAGGGGTGAAGATTTTCCTACCAGATAAGGAGCCTCTGAAGGGCAGGGCTAGTGTCGGGCTCAGCACCCCACCCGCCTCAGGGACACTCAGCCGCCCCACGCGGGACGGCACACTGCCGTGTGCTGGAGGGAATCCTGGCCCCAAGGAAGGAGACGGGCTGGGGCAGCAGTACCAGCCGGGGGGTCTGGGAGACTGAACGAGAATGTGAACAGACGTGGTTGGGGTCCAGCCAGCCTGGCCACAGACGGGAAGCTCTGAGCAACAAAGGCAAGGACGAGGTAGCCGTGCTTGACACAGGGCATGGCCAGCCGCCAGCAGGAGGCCTCCATGGGCCTCAAAGAGGTTATTCCCATGCTATGATGGAGGCCGCCCCGCGGAAGACCGCTTTCTCGCCATTCTTCAAGGGCACTGTGGGAGGCCTGGGGACACAGACCCTGTCCGGGGGTGGGGGTGGGGGGTCACACTCTCCTGGAAATGCTAGACAATGAGCAACTAAACCAAGAAACGTATAAAATCAGCACCATGCAAGGCAACCAGCAAGGGGAGTGGTAGAGGGGAATGCAGTGGCCATGCAAAGCCTCTCCCAGACGTCACTTTTAAGCTGAGACCAGATGCTGGAGAAGGAGCCAGCTATGGAAAACTCTGGGGAGAGGGCACTTTTGGCAGAGAGAACTTGCAAGTGCAAAGTCCCGGGCATGAAAAATGCGAAGGAATCTATGGGAAGCATAATGAGGAAGGGGGCGTAGGGCGAGAGATGGGCATTTCTCACCATTGGGACAGTGGGGAAAGAGCCCCAGCAGGGAGAGCCTGGATCCAAGCTCCTACGCCATCACGGCCTCGTATGTGGCCGGACAGGCCCTTCCCCTCTGGGGCCCTGGACCTTCTTTGCACAATGATGGGGTTGGCCTATCAAGGTCCCAGCTTTCTGGAGAGGGAATTGAATTTTTCATGGTCTCCCGTCCCCTGCCATTCCCACCAGACCACTGGACCTCAGGAGCCAGGACTAGTGTCTTCCCCACCAGGGGTTCCCAGAAAAATCTCAGAACTCCCTCTCCAGTCCTGGGACACTAGGTCGGGAAAGAGGAAGGAAATTCTCACACACAGCAAACTCCCAGGGAGTTTGCTCATGTTCCCAGGCTGACAACTGGCAACCCTCAGAACTCCGTCCCCCTTCCTCCTCCTCCTCCTCCTCCTCTCCCTGCCTCCCTCTCTCCCCCGGCCCCCCTTCTCGGGCTTAATGACTTCCACATGGGCCTCTGGCAGCTGGAGCCAAGCCTCCCAGCATTGTCTGAAATCTCCAAATTTAGAAGAAATATGAAAATTGTCAACCACTCCTTCCTTAGGGGGTAAAAGCAACATTCGGCACCGGGGGCAGGTCAAGGAGAGGCGGTCACGTGGCGGGCGCTCGGGCCAATAGGGGGCCCCGGGAGGACTCCGCACCGCCTCACCCCAACACTGGGCTCGCCTCTTCAGCTCATATAAGGTAAAAGGCAGAGGGGCCTCTGTGGCCAAGGAGCAGCGGGCAAGGGGCTAAGGGGAGGGGGGCCCCGTGCCAGCCATTTAAAAATGCCCCGTGGCAATGAGGGGTGGCAGAGGCCCGGTCAAGTTAGTTGAGAAGCAATGACACCCCCAACAATCCCCTAAATGGGCTGAGCCCCGTCTCCAGGCTGCAAGGAACCACACCTGGACCAGACCCCGGGAGAGGTAAGAACCAGTGGCAGACACGGAGTCTGCGAATGGGGGGGCATCTGGGGCATCCTTCCCAGGGAGACGCTATATCCAGGGGTCTGGTCCTTGCTCTCTTGCTGACCTGCTCTGTGCTTCCACCTTTCCGGGCCTCAGTTTCCCCATCTGCACAGGGGCTGGACTGGATGATCTCTAAGTGCCCGTCCTGCCCTGCCCTGCGGTCCTCTAGGCCGGGAGGACTCCTGGTGGCTGTGGTTAAATGGCGCTGGGAGCAGAGGGAGCGGCGGGTGGTAATGTCCTGCCAGCCGCTGGCCCCAACCTCACTGCCATGCCCAAGTCTGGGCCCGTCTGTCTCCCTGGCTCCTCCGGAGACACTGCTTCTTCCTTGTTCTGTGAGGTTTGATTTCACAGCTCTGAGAGCCTGGGGCTCCTGGCAAGGAAAACTGTTTTCAAATAAGGGTTTTAAGAAGCAAAGCTGGAGGCAAAGCTATGTCCACTCAGGCTCCAGGAGACAGGCAGAGAGGCAGGCAGGCCAGGGTGCTGGCCAGGGGAGGGGGACGTGCGCTCCAGCCCCAGCTCGGCCTCCCACTGCCTGGCCCTGTGGCCTTGGGCAGGCACCCTGCCCTCTCTGGGCCATCTGGACCATGAAACCATTGGACAGTGTGGTCTCCATGTAGGATGTAGCTTCTTGAGCCCTATTGGAGCCTGAAAGACAGCCGGCGTCGGGAAGTTTCCCCTGGAGTCCCTGAGCTGAGTCTGCCCTTTGACCAGAGGCTCAGAGCCCAAGCAGATGCCTGAAGCCCATGGAAGTTCTCAGAGGCTGAGCCTCAAGTGACAGAAAGGAGCTAAATGGTCTCTGACTACAGGTTCGGCCAGGGGAGGACCAGCCCACAGGCCTAAGGCCTCAGGATGAGCCTGCCCCCGAACCCCCACCGCTGCAGCCTCTGGTGGGGAAAGGGCTGATCTCTGGATCAGGAGGTGCAGGGCCTCAGAGTGGGATGAAGCTAGAACGGAGAGCAGAGGGTTTCAGGAGGGGTGACACGGCGTGGTGGGGGCCTCAGAGGAAGGCAGGAGACGTGGGAAGCCAGGCTGTGTAGGGGTAGAGGCTAGGGATCAGCACTGGAAGGCGTGTAGACAACATGGCTCCTACGAACACGCTCTGGCCACATCTGGGGCCCAGAGCGGACACAATCCTCCAGCGCTAGCCCACTCAACACCCTCACCTGCCCCACTCTGGTCACATAAGGCCTGAGGCCATAATGGTCCAAAAGGAAACTCTGGAATCCAACTGCCTGGGTCCAATTCTGGCTTGTTTACATATCGGACAAGTGACCTTGGGCAAGTCACTTGCCATCCCTGAGCCTCAGCTTCCTCCTCTACAAAATGGGTCTGGTCTTGGTTCTAACACTGCTTGGTTATCATGGAGAGTGAGGGACATAGGCACACAAGATCAGGGTCAGTGGGGCTGGTGTTACGTTACCACCAGAGCCTCCTCCTCTTGAGGGGCAAGATGACCTTAGCTATGTTTAGAGAGAAGTAGGAATGAGACCCAGACAGAGAGTGCTCAGAGTTGCTAATGGGAGAACAGGGTCTGAAAAGGGGCAGGAGGCCTCAGTTCAAAGGTCAGAGATGAAGGGGTACAGAAGAGGGATCAGCTTGAGATGCCTAAAAGGCTAGGTGAGGTCTCCTCTCCTGCATTTACAGCACATTGTGTGGGCAATGTGTCCCTCAGGGTGAGGTCTGAGCCGCTGTATACTCATCCGCTGACAGGGAGTCCTGGGTGGGGCCCCAGAAATCTGCATTTCCAGCTCCCAGGAGAATTCCGACACACGTGGAGTTTTGAGAATGCTGGGCTGTCAAGCAGGCTGGGACCCTCGCAGACACAGCTGAAACAACTGGATCCACCATGAGAGAGCGCTGCTCTAGGTCTCACAGAGAGCTGATGACAGAGCGGGGCCCGAGGCAGCTGCTCTGCTCAGCCCTGCGCTCCATGGTGGTGGTGCGGGTAGGAGAATTCTCTCGCGATTGTTACTCTCTGGGCATTCCCGAAGGCCTTTACGAGAATGCATTCACTTAATCATCACAACAACCCTGTGACGTAGATGTAATCATGATTCCCATGGTACAGATGAGGGAACTGAGGTGTAGAGGTGAAGTGGCTTTGCCTAAGGTCACACTGTCTTGTGCCACCTGCCCCAGCTGCTCTCTCCCCCTGGGGCTCTCCCATCCCCTGCCCTGCCCCTCGGCCACTCCACCCCAGAACTTCCTGCAGACCCTCCAAAGTACCTCATGAATGTACATGGAGGATTTCCTGGGAGCCAGGTACCAGGCTGAATGGCTTGTGGTATCATTTGGTCCTCCTAGGATTACCGAGAGGCAGGACTCAGCATCGCTCCCTTATCCCTAATTTATAGAGAAGTAAACCACTGGAGCTTACCCAAGGTCACATGACTAGAAAGTGGCAGAGGGGATGTGAACCCAGTCTGCAACTCCAAAATGTTTGCTCTTAGCCTGCCCACCACGACCCCTCTGAGGGCAGTGATGAGGAACCCCACTTCAGAGAGGAGACGAGGCTAAGGGGGTGACCTCGCCAGAACTTGCATCCAAGTGTTCTAGTTAGCTTCACGGCCACTGCTTTCCCTCCAGCCCCGGGGCTGTCCCAAGAAGGAAAAGGCCTTGCTTGTTGCTGGTGCTTAAGAACCACCCCGCAGCTCTTTGAGCAAAATCAGCCCTTACCCAGACTGGCCAGCTGTGGGGAATTGCTGGTACACATAGCCCTGAGGAATAGAAAGTTCCAGGCCCAGTGTGCCACAGACCCTCGGGGCTGTATCTGATTCCCTCAAGGAGCTAAGGAGAGGTCTCTGAGGTCCTCCCTGCTGGGCTACGCCTGGGCCCTGCCTCAACGGCAACTTTCCAAGTGAACGGTCCCCAGGGCTCAGGGCCATGGGGTCGTGCAAAAAACTGTGATAAAGGCTTTTTCTGACTGTTGTCATTATGACTATTTTTGTCCATGTCTCCTGGTGCCCAGGAGCCAGAGTTTCTCTGGAATCGATACCTAGAGAGAGAGATTGCTGGGTTCTGGGGTACATGCCTGTCAACTTTACAGGAGAGCGCCATTTTATTTTCCAAAGTGGTTGAACCAAGTTACACTCCTACCAGCGGCATATGAACATCCCCCTCCTTGACCACACTTAAAATTGTCAGATTTCTTGAAGTATGTATGTTAACACGTTTTATTTTCTCTATCAAATTTGTATAATAAAGAATGACAGGAGGGCACCTGGCTGGCCCAGTCAGTAGAGCATGCAATGCTTGATCTCAGGGTCGTGAGTTCAAGCCCCACGTTGGGCCTAGATCTTTAAAAAAAAAAAAAAGAATGAAAGGAAAAAACAAAAATGCTGTTCACCACTGTCCACATGGGTATCTAGAAATGTGCCCTGCATGCACCAAGTTGCAGAGCATCCGGAAGGCGCTGGGGCAGGAGCAGGCCCTGCCCACGTGGCCTGCCCCCCAGCCCGGCAGTAGGCAATATGCTCCAAGCAGAGGCCGCCTGCCAGATCATCTGCAGGAATTCGGGGGAAAGAGCCCATGGTGGCTGCCATCTCCTGACGGCCTGTCTAGACAGGCCCCACGGGGCTTCACCACGCATGCAAGAGCCCACAGAGCCGGCCCCCTCCCCGCTTGCAAAAGAGGCTTGTTGGCAGCCATGCTTCTCCACCAGAAACCCTGTGTCCAGTTCACAACACACCTTCATGCACAGCACCAGTCACCCATTCTCATGGCCCATGGGGACCAACTCATCCAGGTCCCTTTTTGCTCAGATGAGGAAACCGAGGCCAACTCCTGAGCCAGGGGGCTCTCAGAGGTGGGGTGAAACTCTGCGCCCAGATGAAGAGGGGACCGGGGTGGCGGGCCAGAGGGCTGCCCGAGCAAGAGGCACTTGGTTAAAGTGCCAAGTGGCAGTCAGGCCGCCTGGGTTTGAGTTCCAGATGTTCCTCGTAGCACCTGTGACATCGGGCATGCTAAGAATTCCTGTCTCGTCAGGGTATTGAGTTGTCTGGATTGAACAGGTTAAGACTCCTGAGACCCTCAGAATGGTGCCTGGCGCACAGGAAGTGCTCGACAACAACTAACTGCTAACATGTGGTAACAGGGGTCCCCCCCAGCCACAGGGGACACGTTCTGAGACCCCCAGTGGACGCCTGAAACCGCAGGTAGTGCTGAGCCCTACGTGTACTATGCTTTTCCCTATCCTTGCAAACCGATGATAAGGTTTAACTTATACATGCGTCACAGTAAGAGATTAACGATAACTAATAGCGTTAGGCTAATTCAGAAGGTGGGTCATCTGCTTCTGGACGGCAGTTGACCACAAGTAACTGGAACTGCGGAGAAGCAGGGGGACTGCTCTACTAAAGGCAGCTTCTTCGGGAAGGAAGGAGACGCCGTAGTGAGCTCCAACTCTTCTTTTCCCCAGGGGCATAAATGGCCCTTGTCCCTTCAAAAATAGCAGTTGCCATATACCACGGCTTCCCAAGGGCCGGGCCCTTTGCCCAGCACTCTCTGAGGTAAGTACCATCCCCTCTCTGGGGACCCAGACGTTCAGAGAGATTTAGTCACATGCCCAAAGTCACAGAGCTTGTAGGAGGCCAAGCTAGAGCTCAAACCCAGGTCTGGCTGACCCCAGAACCCATGCGCTACTCTCCAGCATTGCCCCAGTGAGTCTGGGGGCAAGAGCTGGTTCTGGTTCCAGCTGGTCTAATAGGACCAACTCTCAGCATTTGGAAAGGGGACCAGTGGAAGCCCGTGCCTCCTTCTCGATTAAGTAAGGGGACAGACAGAGCTCTCCCTCCGCACACTTGCTCAAAAGTGCAAACCTCAACCAAACAATCCTTCTTGCCAACGAGCACCCCTTAGTGTGGGCTGAGTACCCTTGGGGGCCCCATCAGTCCTGGGTGCCCCCGACCCAGCACAGCCCATCAGAGATTTGAGGAGAACAGGGAGCTAGACCAAGGCTG